AAGTCGGATATGAGCATGCTCTGACCGTGAGAACGCATTTGGACATTTGCTCTTAAGCAAAATAACTTCACACGAGCTGGCTCAATGATGTTTTTTGGTTAAAGCGTTATCGGCAGATAGAATTTATTTCAGTAAAGTAAGGTAAACACATACACCTGCGAAAGTATAGATATAACACAAGAAAAGGAATATATTGTTAACTGTGGTGAAATAATTTTAAAGAGACAATCCGGAAGGCTAACTCGTAACTTCAGGACTGATAACTGACAGAAGGGCGTCAACTCAGCAGTCCAGTTAAGGGATGATTCTAAACCCAATGTTCCTACCGTTAACAGGTTTTTGCAGTCAATCATGTCAGACTTCCTTAGCACATACAAAGATAGAATTGTGAAAATGACCGAGGATTTCTTGAGAAACGTCGAAGAATTGACCAACGAAGCTACTAGACGGTTGAGTACACTTAGCAACATTTCTGAAGTCGCAGCAAGCATCGAGAAAGAAAAAGGCGAAGTTAAAGAGACATCTAGAGTCAACCAGTGCAAAGCACTCATAAAGAACTTTTTCACCGCTCTTCTTTTTGGGCCTTACCCGGAGCTATTAACTGAACTCGCAGACAGTTTCAGCATGGTTAAAGAAATGGAAAACAAACAGAAAGAGGATAAATCATTTCAACTTCCCGAGGTCATGCAGGGAAGGGTCGATTCTTTTAAGCACTACCTGGAAAAAGCCAAAGGAGAGTTGGAGGTGATTGATAAAGTGCTCGATGAACTGATAGAAAAGGTGAGTAGTTTACTATCCTCTACACCTCACCGTTGTAATCTCCGTTTCTGATATTTTTTTCCCGGGTTTTCTTGGGGTTAGACGATTAACGTTAACATATAATTGAGAGACGATTCGTTTATAGTATACTGTAAATTTACCCTCTCTGCTATGAGCGCGTGGCCGCTCACGAATTGAGACGAAATATTATCTTCATTCATGCAAATAATTTTTCATTGAGAGATATTTCTCGCAGTTAATATATCGAGAGGTCCAAAAGGCTTCGCACTATGATTTTGCTAAAGAGAAAGGTGGGACAAAGAATGATAACCATCTGTTTGGCATAATTAGCCACAAATGTGACGATTTTATTTGAAACTATAAACCGTTGAAACCATTAATTGAAATCTCTTCTGGAATGGTGGGGATGAAAAATCCGCCATACTGAAAGTTAAAAAAAGCTATAAACAAACTAACTAATACATGGACAGTCTGCACGTCGATGACTGGGGAGGTGGTGGGAAAAAAGTTTCGACTTAGCAATGAAGTAACTGTTCACAAGATGACGATGATCGCAAGAAGGGCCACGTGTAACATTTTGATGCCTTTTAGTTATCCCCTAGGACAAGCGCATCCTAGTGATTGGTCAGGAACGCCTTGAACCCGCAGACTGTTGAATATAACAGGAAATTCCTCGCACTAAAATGACATTATGGTTTCAGTTCTTCAACATAATGTTTGTTTTTACCATCATGCTCTCATCCAGAGTGAAATTGCTAACATTGGATAGTTTTCTGTGGTTTTGGATCAATTAGCGATTATGTACAACGTGCTCATACAGGCTCGGTAATTAAATACATCATTGATATAACTTGAATCCTACTAGAAATGAATCCACACTACGCTGGAGGAATTTGAAAACAGAATATTTACTTTGAAAAAGCGTCGAATGTTTTTCGTCCACACTACGCCGGAGGAAATTAAAAATGCAACAGTCACCGAGGGTAGGGAAAGCAGATGATTATTGTGAGGACATCGTTTTCAGAAAGCTCCGCTTTCAAAACGCTTTTCGTCCTCCGGTTTGAAGAGCGTTTCCGAAATGCTCCGTTTCCGTGACGGACCATTGTAGAAGGTAGGCCGATCTGTAGAAATAAAGCTGCGTTCTTCAAATTCCTCCGGCGTCGTGTAGAGCTTTTGATCTGAAATTTGGCTGAAGGTATCTCAGAATGACTTGTTGTAAAACAACAGTTTTGGGCCATTCGTAGCCGAGTAATATTGACTTTTGTATAGAGTCTCTGTAACCTCCACGAATGAGCCTCTAGCCAGGGAGATTGCGCAAGCACTACCAGTTTCATTGACATTAAACCAGTAGTAACGGCAAAGGTTATGAGTGCGTTCGACGTCGTCACTTTAATATGTATACCTTATATATGAGTTCACTAGCTGACTTTCAGCTTCAGTCTATTGCTAAAATCGACATTTTTCATCAACAACCGATGTTTTACAGACAGATATGTCATAGTGTCATACTCCATACCAGTGAATCGAATTCAGTGAAGAGGTCCCCTGTATAAAATGTGATTTGTTGCTACGTTGCATGACGGCGCCTGTTTCCGTAGACCCACAAAAATATTTGTATAGAGTAAGCCCTCTAATTTTGTGCTTAATATTTTAACATTGACTCGTAATGTTTAAATGTAAAATCTTATTTGTAAAAGTATATTTTTTACGTACATTATTCAGAGCTGGAAGCACCAATGTAAGCAAACATTTGCAATCATGAAACAAGCTCCGTGCTACTGATTCGAAGGAGCGATTTTTGCTTCTAGTAAGAACGAAGCATATAGAAACAAAAGAAACCATTCGAATTCAATGGGATGCAAATGAGTGGCCCGGTTTCTACAATTTAGCCTAGATCTTGCCTTCAGAGTACTTTTCCATCGATTCCAAACAATATTCAGCAGATAAACACACATGGAGACGCGACGAGCATATGCATGGACACGACGTCATTCGCCCTTGAAGAATTTCTTTTTTTCTTTTTTGGCGAGGGGGGAAGGGGTGTGGGGGTGGGTGGAAAGGGTGGAAATTGGTGTCCCCAGATTTATACAGGAAAACTCGGTTTCCTTCCAATACCGGATTAGAACTGCGTTTTATCGAACGCAATAAATTACTTACCTACTTATTTGCTTACACCGACAGGTATATGAGGCAAAAGTAAAACACTTTGAAATCTCAGATGAGGAGATTGTTCATTTGGAAGTTAATACAGCTAAAATGAATCGTGCATTAAAGGCATGTAAAAACTATCTGGGCGAGGCCAAGAACGAAATCAACAATCTGGAGTCGGACATAGCTTCAGAAATGGAAAGCTATCGGATGAAAGTTGCAGCCATATCTTCTGGAATTGGGGCGACGCTGCTGATTGGTGGAGGTACATGTACGTTAATGATTTTTTGGGCAATATATAAAAATTCGCAGGTGGCCACACTTACATTCGAGGCATGATTTTCTGGAAAATTATTCATATTAACCGATATATAAGCAAAAATGGATTAGGAGACAACCAGTACATTAGTTACTGCCACAGGAATGTCGCTGATGGTCAGCGAAACACTTCTGAATTTGCTGGTTAGCAATAATTTCATCCAGTAGTCGGGTATTGATTCCATCGGATGGCTGGGATTTGGTTTCCATATGATCACACCGATCATGACCGATTGCTGAACTTTTCAGTTTTGTAGCAATCGTAGCGATCATACGGAAACTAGCTCTAGGAAAAATGACTGACAGCAAGTCTCCGCAAGCTTATGTCATACTTCCGTCACCTCCCAAAGCCCTGAGGCGGTTTCAGTTACTCCTAAAGTGTAATTGTAGTGTCAAATTCCTCAATTTAGATATTCAGTGTTTTTACCCCTGCCTGAATAAATGCTTGCACGATGAGAATTTTTAGAAAAATTGTTTTGCACTGATCAATGGCCTCTCTGTTTATAACAAGACATGGCACGGAGCGGGTGTTCAAACACTGTCGGTGGCAACGCTCAACTGTTAGAATAATGACTTTAGAGGGTATAATTTTTAAGTCAGCCGTTTAACATATGTTTTGGCCTATGTCATCTAGTTCCTTCTAGCTGGATTGAAAATTACTTGAAAGTGATTGCCTTGGGAAACTCAGCAAAACTATCATGGCTTCAAAACATAACTTCAAGGCACATTTTGGTATTATTTCAAGCAATTTTACCCAAACAGTGCCCAACTGTCGGCCCATTTAGCATTATTACTCAAAAGGTATCTCTTGAAGTGTTTTTTGTTTGTTTGTTTTTTTACGATTTATTCGTAATCCAACATACAGAATTTTTTGTCCTTGTATATTTGCCATGGCACCATAGCACAAGGGTATTAAATGTTTTGCATCACATCTGGTTTCTGCAAAATTCATCTTTTACCGATTTTCAATGTTTGTGTTTAGCGTTTCCATGGAAGTATCGATAACCTTAGGATAACACTAAATTTCAACCATTACCAATTGCCAGTTTTCATGTGACCTCATCATCATCATTATTATTATTATTATTATTTTTATTATTATTATTATTATTCTAAGCCTGTGTCACTGCATTTTTGTGAAAACGCCGTGACAGGAATATGGGGTAGCTGCACGCTCCTAGTGATGGGCTCCTGCATAGACCTAGATCTTGTCAAGGTTTTTTTTATCAGATTCTTGACTTAATTTATTGAATGGTTGCGATTTTTATTTTGGATTGCGTGACAGTGCAAACCAGCGATTACCGATATAATTTTCACATCGATCCATGCAATTGATGGAACACTAGTAAAAAGTTCATTGAAAATGCTTGGTATGGTTCATAAAAAATTGTATCGAGACACCTTAAAATGTTGACATTTTAACGAACGCTTCTCTCTATAAAAATATACTAGGTAACTTTTAAAGCCTATGTTGCTTCGATGCTTCTTTTATTTCTTTCGTATTTATTCTTTAACCGATAAGATCAAATATATGTAGGATAGTTGTTCACCATGACCTGTAGTGCAGTTTTGTACAGGTTGGCCACATTCAGAATTAATTCATAATTAATTTAGAACGGTGCCTACTTTTGTTAGTGCGCACACGTTCTACGTATCACCAACCTTTACTTATGTGCTTACCCCTACTTTTTATCTTATGAAATTGATGTGGAAAGCCTATGCAGCGCCTGATAAGTTTCTGGTTGTGTGGAAAAGCTATTTAGACAATATTTTCGTTAAACCAGAGGAGAGAGCTCTGTCAGGACGCCATTGGCGCCGTTGCGACGATTTTGTCATTAACTCATCCAAAGTAGTTTTATTTTGTTACCATTTGCCAAGTAGTTTGAAGATCTTCATATATATCTTTGTATTTATGTTAAGGCGAATAAAACAGAAAAACTCTGTGAAGAAATAATTTTTCGTTCTTTTAAGGAAAAATGCTGACATCAGCATTTTTATTTCTGAAAAATGAATTCCAACAGCCCTTCCTGAGATCTTCTTTTTCCACATATTCCTGATTCGGGAAAAAACCTTTGTATTTAGTAGGCACCATCCTTAATCCTCGTTTGCTATTGTTTTTCTAGCCTACTTCGCCCGAGCGGACACCCTAAAGGAAATTGCCGATAAACTTGGATTTCTTAGAGGTGGGTTGCTAGTAGGTGGCATGGCACAAGCAGTGAAGTGCCTTTGCCTTAGCTACACACTTATTATAGAAAGCCACAGAAAATTGTTCACCCCTCGTCTTGAATCTCTGAAAAGTGACTTGAGGAAAGTAGAAGCTGATTACAAAATAGTGAAAGAAACGTTTGAGGAAGAAGTAACTGGAAATATGGAGGCGAAGCATTAGAGGATCATGTGATATTAACGTACTAATAAAAGCAAAAAAGATCTTAAGCACAAGGCTGCTCAGTAGAGAAACTATAGAAATTAGTTTTTATAAGATGAAAATGAAGTCTCCATCTCTGGTATTGGATCTCCTAAGAAGGCCATTTATAGGTCTCTTTTTTGCAAACCAATTGCCAACCACGTCGAGCCAACCTTAATACGCATGTACTTTACGTTGGCTCGCTTTCAGAGAGTGATGCGCAGGCTAGGGTTTAAATTGCTCGCACCGATAACAAATCGTCAAGTAATAGTAATAGTAATAGTGAGCAGTTCATAATTTTAGAGATTTCATTGATGATATGCATGTAAAACACTCCCGTTTCAGTGGGTTGAGGGCCTTACATGCTCATTAAATTGGCTTTGATGGCATTTAAAACCCCTGACTTTGGTCGCGTAGTGGAATGTTCTTCATTGGTGCGAACAATTTTACCTTTAGAGTGCGCGTCTTTGCTTTGGGCAAAGTCGGGACAATAATGACAAGCAAATGATGGACGCCAAAACGAAACCGAAAATAGTTTTCGTAGACGAAGATAGGTCTATCGGGTAACTGTGCAATGGTGAAAAGGAAGGTTCGGTTGTCACAAGATATTGACACTTTCGTGACTTAACTCCAGTAGTCGACGCAATGTTCTTCTCACGGCATTTTGTTCTCTAGATCTAATAACAGCCCGGCTATACTAGACAATCCGAAAGCACACCGGCGTCGCATCGATACAAGATGGAGATTTCATTCAAATCCTGTTAATACCGTCAGTGATGGTGAAGGATAGGATACATATCTCTTTTAGATAAATTTCATATAGCTGATACCATTGCTTTGTAATAGATTCCTATTCGGCTCCAAGCTTAATAAGACTAGTATGTTTTGAACCGATGTCAGTATAATTCGTGTTATTACATCTCTCAATTACTACGCGCGCTGTGATTGGTTAATTTAGCCGGCCGTACTTTACTGTACGGCCCGCTAAAATTTCAAGCTGTTTTTGCTGCCAAAATGTTTCGTGATTTATCACCAGGTGTTCTTAACTTTTTATAGCAAGTAAAAGTCTAAAACTTTCTTTTACTTTAAATTGTGTATTAAAATGTGCTAACGACTTAACAACGATTTCAAATTGATTCGTTTTTCTTTCAACTTGCTTCAGGAATTTGAAGCCGTTCCGCGTGAATAGAAATCGTTCCCGAACCCGTCAGAAACACAAGAGAGACGTAATAAATATCTTACTAACCTCGTCTTCTCAGTCCATACTGTAAGTTACGGATCCTCGTTTTTTCCTCATCGATTTATGGCCCAAGCGCGTAGCACGCGGGCCATAAATCGAAGGAGAAAAAACTCGGTCCGTAACTTACAGTACGGACCTCGAACTCGGTTAGTAAGAGGTATTTAGGAGAGTGGCTCCGTAAGATCGATAGTTTGATCAGACTATTTCATTTCATTGGTTGAGAGCTAGGTTTCATTCTTTGACGCCAAATCTCATAGAGAAACTCATTTTTCAGTTGACGGTCTGATGGCTTGATCTGAGTTCGGAGATCACTTGAACCATATGTCATGCATGACCGATCTCTGAACAAAGAATGGTAGTAGGTTTTGACTTCGTAATTTTTTCGAGGAAATTTCACCAAATTAATTTACTGATTCCGCTATTTGATATTTCTCTGCTACATGTTAGTGTGGCTAACAGTGGAATTTTTCAGCAGCTTAATCGACCACATATAAAAAGGCTATCGAAAACTGAAAACGTTAACGACATGGAGCTTCGTATTTTCTGCTTAGGTGTCCATCTTTGTGTGAAATTAAGTTTTGTATGTGCAGAAAGAATTTTGCACTTCAAATGTTGATTTACGAAAACGTACAAAACGAGAAATAAAGACGTTCTTTAACCAATATTCTTAAGATCGATCTTATAAAGAATTAATTACTTTTTAACCCTCGGATTTGAAAAGGCGCGTTTTGATTCAAAGAGAATGAAATATATTTTTAGTTTAAGTCTGTTATATATTACCGTGCAGTACAACCAAAAGCTTTTTGTTTACTACCCCCTAGAACTTGTAAAATGTGTATGGGTATAAAAAAAAATTCACTTTGATCGAGCCTCTTTAAGATAAGTGTATGCTCATTAATTCGAAGGCGTTCGTATAATAGAGGAAGAAGTAATAAGAACAGTGGATTTTTTGGGACCAAGTGAATTAGTTGTCACGCAGAAGTATCGAAGTTATGGCCATGTTCGTAAGTTATGGCTCGTCTTTACAATATTTTAACTGAGTGAGGAAAACATTGCAGCAAGGAACTATTATAGTAATTTGAGAACGCTGACAAATGATGGCGTTTGATATACTGCAGCTTTGCTAGCTATGTTCTGAACTCCTGAAGCAGAAAAAGTTAACAATTCTATTTTATTAAACTTGATTTGAAAATTCCTTATGCTCTTTTTAATCTCACAGTCTTCTCTTCTCTTCAAAATTGCTTTCATAGTCCTGCTTTTGGGGGCGGCAGCAGTTACCGGGGCTATCGCCTTCTTGGTGTGGAAAGGTTTCCCGTTTCGCAAGGAAAAATATTACTGCAAACTACTTTTAATCTTTCGTTATCACTCACGTTTAAGGCAAGAACTGGAACGTGATCGCATGAACCTGAGATGTAAAGACATCCACAGTAACGTTTTGTGATGACTTTATAAGAAGCCTTTGTTTGTAGGATAATTACAGTGTCTAAATATATAAAGCAGATGGAATTTCGCTAACGGAGTTGAATGTAGAATATTTTAACCTTCTTGAGGTGCTGCAGCAGAGTATAAGGAAGTGCGACAGCCCTGTTTAGCTATAGTGTGTAAGGACTCGCACCACCACGGCTGAATTCATTACAGAATATGGATAGAGCCTGCAGCAACTAAATTTTGTACTCTTCAAGGGCTAACTTGCACGCTGAGACAAAAACTTTAGTTTTTCACAACATTGTCAGTTAGAGCAAGAGAAAGATTAAATAGACTCAAAATCATGGCTCTGAAAACAAATCAGTCGGTTAAAACTAAAAGAAAAATACTGGTTAGTTTAAAAGTAAACGGCTCTTCGTGGGTATATAGTGGCTTCCTTTTCGTTCTTTTGATTTAGTTTTTCTTTTTTTCTTTTTTTTTTTTCGGTAATTATTTATCTTGCAACCAAGGGCAGTTGTTATCATCATTTTTCTCTGATGGATTCAGTCACTCCAACGAAAACGATGACGTCCAGGTGCATGCATTCATTTAGAAACGTTACTAGCTGCTTGTTTTAGAGGTCAACACTGATTTAAACGAATTGAATTGGCTTTATAGATTCATTTTAGAAACGCTGATTCTGGCGCGCTGTTTTCATCCAATGCAAGACGCAATCTTAGTTAATCTCACTTTTAGAGGGGAAGGAGGGGGAGGGGAGGGGGGTACCGGACGGGTTTGGATAGAAAGGTGCCTTTAGGTTGCTCAAATCATAAATGTCCGATCTAGCCCATTTTATTTAAGATGCAGTTCTTTGCATTTTTTACCTTACTGAAATTTAAGTTGATTCATTCGATAGAATAATAGTAATGTATACGTATTGCAAGTGATTGTTGCGGGATGTGATCAGTTTTCCGAAATTAATGCGTATTTATATCCTGTTTAAGACCTAAGGTCACGATAGTTACTCCTCATGAGTCGTGAAACTCATACCCATGCATGAGAACCATACCGAACTAACACTCTTAGAACCATACCGTGTCAACTGGCACATCGCTGTTATGGCCTGATGCGGAAATACCCCTCCCCTGGATTACTCCAGTCTATAAAAGCTGTCTTCCTCGTCGTCTCCAAAGAATTGGTCGATTTATAAGATTGAAATTAAAATCCCAATCAAACAATAATTCAGTTAGTCTCACGTACGGTGAACTAAAATAAAGTAAAGGACAACGTGTTTGCATGCTGAAATTGGCAAATAGCTGGATTCAAAACATTTCTCTGTGTGCCAGATTGAACGAGACGGTAGAGCGAATTCCATCCGTCTAGATCTGTCATCCGAATACTTTATCCAGATCTAATGGCGCAAAACCGTGAATGCCATTGCATATAAAATAACGCAGCTTTCTAAGGTTTTAAAAACACACGTGTGTTTTGATCATAAGGCGAACACAGAAACGCTAACCAAAGCAACACTGATTTGCAATATTGCGTGGTTTTCAGTGGCGGATCTAGGGGAGGGACCGGGGGGCCCGGGACTTCCCCCCTCCTCTTATTTTGGGTAAAAGAAGAAGAAATGACAGAAGGAAGAAAAGGGCAAGTGAAACAAAACCGGGCCCCGCTCTTAGCTCAAGGTCTGGATCCGCCACTGGTTTTCTAACTTTTCTCGCATTTTTCATAGATTAATGTCCTGTTTAGCTTGATTATCTTATCCTTTTAAATTTCATTAAGGCAGTCATTCGAGAGCCGCTCTGTTATCTTGTTAACTGTCATAGAATAGATAGATAAGTGTTTGATCAAATGTAAAGTGATCAGTTGTGAACAGTTGGCTGGGAGAGGGGGGGGGGGCAGACTGGAACTCTAAATACCCGCTTCTTTTAACTTTTGCTCCCAACTTCCCCCGCCCCCTCCCCCCCTTGTTTTTCAGTGGCTTCCGGCTTGTTTCCTATTGGTTTGTAAAACGCAATTTCGTGAATTTTTCCAAGTTTTCTCCTCTCCGTAGACCTTGGGAGTTCCGCGTTTCATATCTCAGTTTTTCCGTTAATTCCCGCCTCTTCCCGTAGAGTTCCCCTGTCCATCCTCGTCTTCCACTCAATGCTGTTCAGCTTGACCATATATATGTAGTTTGGAAATCTGCACATCGCGGAATGTACAGGGTAGAAACACATTCGGTACTGCATATTGTTTGCTTATGCATGAATTGACTGGCGTAATCGGAAAAACAAGTGCAGTTTGTGTTAGTCATCCCATCTTCGAGATCGATTGCATGCTACATACCAGGTACTTTAGAGGCGTTTACAAAAACTGCACGTGTTTCCCCAACTGGTCTCAATCGGCTGTTTTATGTCTTGTTGCATTTTGTATAAATAGATTCAATCCTGTTTAACTCGTATTATTTTAGCAGAAAGCTTGAAGAGGTTTCCTGTTGTAAGGGAAAGGATCTGTGTTTAGAGGTTGACTTTAAAATTAGTTGGTAGTCCATTTAGGAATAGAAATATTGGCTTAATACATGTAGCAAAGTGGAAGTGTTACTGATTTGTAGAAGACAGGGTTTAAGTAGCGCTTTCGATTCTTAATATTCATTCCATTACATTTACGATATACGATTTAATTGTGGGTGTTAAAACGGAGAGCTATTCTTCTTCGTACATTAAGCTCTCAATAAGATTAATTTATTTTAGATTTCATGTTTAAGAATGTACAGTTTCAACCCTTTCAGTGCCAAGCTTAAGTATGATCTACGTCTAATTTTTCCTTAAGATATCGACACATTGTCAAATAGACAGGTAACGAGAATGAAAAAAAAATGTTAGTCTCTGAATTAATTTTAAAGAAAGACTCGTCAATGAACTGTGAGAATTAAGATTTTAAAAAAAGGAAGCTATGAAAGGGTTGAATAATTCTTGGCAGTGTAAAACTAGATAGTTAAAGAATAGGCGTAGTATCGAAAGGCTGAATATACCAACAGCCTTATTGTAAGGTATCAAGGCTTAACTGAGAATATAGACATTTATTAAGAAACATTTATACTGTATTAGTATCATGTTATGCGGTTATATATTCAGAGGTTTTAACCTTCAGTAGGGTAATCTATGTAGCCTGTTTTTCAACTGCTTTTAGTTTGTAAGAAAATGCTTGGCTTTAATTAAAAGAAAGGTTCAGTTGAGCATAATTTTTTAGATGTCTTCCTTTTCTGCGCTTTACGTCTATAGGTTGTGGGGAGTGTTGGAGGAGCCGTGACCTAATGATTAGTGCGCTGGACTCTGCATCGAAGGTCCGGCTTTGA